CCCCCGGCTGTCCTCGGGGCCTGGGGGGCCCTGCGCTTGGTCCCCTGGCTGCCCCCGGCTGTCCTCGGGGCCCGGGGTCCCTGCACCTGGTCCCCTGGCTGCCCCCGGCTGTCCTCGGGGCCTGGGGGGCCCTGCGCTTGGTCCCCTGGCTGCCCCCGGCTGTCCTCGGGGCCCGGGGTCCCTGCACCTGGTCCCCTGGCTGCCCCCGGCTGTCCTGGGGCCCGGGGGGGCTTGCGCCTGGTCCCCTGGCTGCCCCCGGCTGTCCTCGGGGCCCGGGGAAGGCCGCAGGTGAGGCTGAGACATCTGCCTCTGATCTGAGGAGCTTCAGAGAGGGAAAGTGGCTGCCTGTGACCTGGGCGCCTGGTGTTTACCCAGAAATTGTGCTAATCCCAGTAATTCCTGTGATTTACACAGCCTCTGTCTCCGTCTACTACCCGCCTCTTCTGGGAGGCGCAGGGGCTGATCTGCAGCCGCGGAGGCCTGTGGCACAGGGGGCACTGCAGGGGCCCCTGGCGGGTCAGCTGCCCTCAGGCCTCCATGGAGCTCCAGCCCTGTGTGTGCACATCTGTCTCTGGGCCACAGAAGGCTGCTGGGTCGTGGCATCTGGATACACGCTTCCTCCCCACGCTCTGTTCACCTGGTCCCGCGCTGGCCTGGCCCCGAGGCTTCGGGCGGCTTTCTGGCCAGAGGACCTGGCTCCAGGCCCGCCCTCCGTCCTCCGCCCTCCGCCCTCCGCCCTCCGTCCTCCTCCCTGGAATGTGGCGCCCTGGGCAGCTCACCCCTCCTCTGTAGGAATCGGGGTGCCGTGGCTCTGACAGCAGGGCAGGGCGGGATGTTGGCGCGAGGGCCCTGCGCTGCTGATCCCAGGAGGCCACAGCCGCTCCCTCCGCTTCTTTCCCATCTCCTGTGTCCCTAGACAGAAGTTGACACGGTCCCTCCCTTCTTGAGAGTCTGTCTTTCTCTGGCGTTCCTGCACTCAAGTGCGAGGGTTTGGGGTTGTTGGCCTCAGTTTCCCCATCTGTGTTTGGGGACACTCTCAGGAGCCTGGGTTTGGTCGCATGTGCTGATCCTGTGGTGCCCTGCCTCTGCTGGTTTCTGGTCCATGGAGCCCTGTGCCCATCTCTTGCCATCCGCAAGGGGTCTGAGCACCTGCTCAGCTGGGCCTGGGCACCCAGGGGTGCACGGCCCAGCTGCCCTGGAAGAGCCTCAGGTGAGCAGAGAGCCAGGTGGGTGCACAGAAGGTTATGACCAGGCTGTGCAAGAGGGGCCCTGGGGGCGGGGGCGTGTCCACGCCCAGGGGAAGGACACGCAGCTCATCTGGGGGTGTGGAGCCTGGCAGCCCAGCCTTGTGCACTGTGAAGCATGGAGCAGGCTTGTCTGTGAGAATCGGGGAGTAAAGGGTTAGTGGCTAAATGTACAACGGCACCCGCTCCCCTGCCCCGCCCTGGTCAGCAGACAGGAGCCACCTGCAGAGCTGTGGTGTTCGCCCCAGATGGAGCCTCAGCACTTGCCCAGCCCTTGGCCGGTGGCCCCTGTCCCCCGTCTCACCACCGTGGGTTTGCACATGGACGAGGCCACGCCGATCCTGCTTCCGGGCTTCCCGGGCTCCTGGCCCGGTGCCCCATTTCTGAAGGGCTCAAAGGCAGTTACTTCAGTGCCTGCCAGGGAACTCGGGCAAATCCCTTTGTCCGCAGGATTGTCACCCGGGGCACTGTGGTGCGCCAGAGTACGGCTTTGGGCCAGACAGCCTGGGTCCCAGGCCTGGCCCAGCCACTTCTAAGTCGTTTGTCTTTGGGCAAGTTATTCAACCCCTCTGGGCATTGATTTGTTCCTATATAAAATATTGGGAAGGTTAGCCCAGCCGGTGTGGCTCAGTGGTTGAGCATCGACCCAGGCACCAAGAGGTAGCCGGTTCAATTCCCAGTCGAACCGTCATGCCCAGGTTGTGGGCCCGATCCCCAGTGAGGGGCCTGCAGGAGGCGGTCAATCTATGTTCTCTCTCATCACTGTTTCTGTCTCTCCCTCTCCCTTCCTCTCTCTCTAACATCAATAAAGAAGAAAAGTTTCTAAATATTGGGAGGATTAAACGAAATCACACTGTAAAGTGCTTGGCAACTGCTAAATGCTTGTTAAAGGTTTATTGTTCCAGCTGTTATTTGTATTTTTGTCCTTCCAAATTCAAGGTGTGTTTCAAAGTCAGGCTTACATTCCTCCACCTGAGCTCTTGGGAGGAAAACCCATGCTTTTCACAAAATTACTTGCATTTCTCAGAGCCGTGGTGCCCAGCCTCAAAGGCCCCCTCAGAGCCTTCTTAGACTGGCATTCCTGAGCAGTTCTTCCATGCCCGCCTGTGTGGGGCATGCGCCTGACCTGGGGGAGGAGGAGTGCAGTGAGGGCGTCTGGTTGCTGAGGGGCCCAGAAGTGGCCATGACTGGAGAGGAGTGGAGGGCTTCCTGGAGGAAGTGACATTGAGTGGCATCTTGAGGGAAGAATAGGAGTCCATCAGACACGGAAAGGGTGAGGAGTCTCTGGTTGGTGGCAGGGCCTGCGCAGGGGCCTGGCGGCACACGAGGGAGTGGGTGTGGAGAGGAGGCTGCAGGTAGACACAGGGACTGGACCTGAGGACCCCGAGGCCATGCTCAGGGAGGGATGCGGTGAGATTTGGTCCTGAGGAAGGGGCCTGGCTGCCGGGTAGAGGACTACCTGGGAGAGGCGACCAGAGAATGTGCGGAAGGTGCCCAGGACCAGCCCAGAATGGAAGAAGGGTTGGTACGGGCAGCCAGCTCGGAGAGGCAGTAGGGGTGAGGCGCTCGGGTGGGAGGGGGTGGGGAGGAGGAGGGGACTCAAAGGTGCAGCTCAGGTGGTGGGAGGGATGGTCCCTGGGGCCAGGCTAAAGGGGCAGGGAAGGTGGCGCAGACCCTGGTTATTCAGACAGCCGGAGTCTGAAAGAACAGATTTTACAAAGAGTCTTGAAGGGTTAGGTAGTGATCCCTGAATCTTGAGACCAAAGGAAACCCCTTAACTCACCAAAGTCCTCGGGAGACTTCTCCGTCCCCACCTGCCTTGGGTTTTCTGGACGGTGATTTCAAAGCAGCCGGGCTGGTGCGCAGACATCACCTGGTTCAGAGCTCGGGCTGCCTGGCCGGCCAGGAGCGCTGGGGCCGCCGTCCACTCGTCACCCCCACGTGCTGTGGACTCCCGAGTACTGTGCAGATTTGGTAAAATGAGCCTCTGGGTCCTACAGGTGTTGATGTAGACTTGAGCCCCCTGGGATGGACATAACCACTGCCTCTGGTCTGCCACGCGCGATCCACGAGCCCTTCCCACAGGCCGAGACCTGCAACGGCCGCGCACTCCTGGGCTCCCTCCAGCAGCCCCGTTTTCTTCCCACTTTTACAGCCAAGCTTCCTGAGAGCTTCTGCTTCCTTCTCTTCCCAGTCTCTTCCTGACCCCGCCGGGCCCTGGTCGCCTCTGTGAGACAGCCTGCAGCCCGGCCTCCGGCCTCCGTTCCCCTCTCTCACCTCCTGGGCGGATCCCCCTCCTCAGGGCATTCCTCCTGGTGTTTGGGCTTTTTCCCCTCCCCTGGCTGCCATTCCTGCTCACTCTCCTTGGCTGGCTTCTCCTCCTCGCCAATTGTTGCGATGCCCGGCGCCTGAACATCCCATCTCCAGCTTTCACTTCTCCCCTGAGCGCTGACCTACATTTGCAGCAGTTTCTGTGGGTCTCAGTAGGCCTCTCTAACTCTCCTGGCCCCGCCGAGCGCCTGCCCTCTGCCCGGCCCTCTGCCCCAGCCCGTGCTCCACGTCAGCACCACAGCCCCTTCAGGTGCTCAGGCGACAGTGGGGGCTGTCTTTGACATCATCCTTCTCTTAAATGAATGACTTTCAAATTTCTTTTCTGTAATACTGGATCAAATACTGAATTAGCAGTACGTGCAAGTGATGACGTATATCAGTCAACCCTGCTGTGCCCCCACCAGCTGGAGGCTAGCGTCCCCACACCTGCATCCCTGGGTGCCTCGCCCTTACCGGGGACTCCTCTTTCCATCACCGCCGCATCCAGGTCCTCTGGGTTCTGTCTGCTCGGCCTGCAGAGCACGTCCAGGGTCCACCACCTCTTCCCGACCCAGCCGCTATCATAGCTTCCTGGGTGCCCCTTCCCTCGAATCTGAGCTCCACACAACAGCAGAATGACCCCTTTACACCAGGAGTCACTTCTAGTCCTCCTCAGGGCTGCTCCTCTAACAAGCCAGCCCCTCACCGGGCCCTTGGCTCCGCCTCTGCCCTCTGGCTGCCCTGGCCTCCATCCCACCTCAGAGAGGCCAGCCCCTCTCCCGGGCTCCAGCCAGGGCCTGCTTCCTCTTTCCGAGCTATCTCTGACTGAGGCGAAATGTGCATTAACATCCCCCTCGTTTATTATTTGTCTCTTAAGTAGGACGTAAACTCCATGTGTGTCTTCAGCACCAGGTACGATGCCTGCTGCATAGCAGGGGCTTAAACATACGTTGACTGAGTGTGTGCTGTGAGCACAACCGTGTTGAATGAATGAGTGCGTGAACATGCACATGAATAAATGAAAGGCGTGTCCTGGCGAGCGGGAAGGGACGGGAAACAAGGGCTTTTCTTTCAAGACCTCTGAGTCGTTGCTGCGCGATGTATCTTCTCCCCTGTGATTCCAAGTTGGAGAAGCCCGTGATTCTGACTTGATTTCTCGGTGCAGTTCTTCTTGCTACTCACCGCTCAGTGGCAGGAACTAACTTGTTGCTTAGATTTTTAAATCTGGGGTAAAAATAATGAAAACGCGCAGCTGTTGTCCGTGAGGTCGTTCGAAAGACCAGATGAATCTCAGAACTAATAATCCTCAGAATTAATTAAACCCTCCTTCCCAATTAGGAGAGAATTGAGTTGGTTGCTTTAACTGTGCGTGGCGGCGGGAATCTGGGGCGGCGTTCCCGGCTGGGTCTGGGGGCAGCGTGCTCAGTGTCTTTGTCTTCTCTTTAGGGCTCCCACCCAGGACTATGAGCAGCTGAGATGGACACGTCCGCCGCAGCCACTGCCACGGAGAAGAAAGAAGGCAAAAGTGGGATTGCAGAGGGTGCTGCTTTCCCTGACCCGGGCAGGAAGACCTCTGCCCTGGCAGTGGCCACGGTGGCGGCGGCCGCAGCGGCAGCTGCCCAAGGAGGTACTCTCTGTTTTGCACACTTGGTGGGCAGCAGGGGTCTTTTTCATGAGCCCGTTAGGATTTAATTGGACGGGTGGCTGATGTCATCGGGCAGGCGTGCTGGGTTTATGGAGGGTGAAGAGGAGGGCGCCCCTGCCCCTGGATGCTAGGCACTGTGGCAGACGCCTGCAGGATTCCCCGGAGGTCTGGCCACCCCCGATCTGGGGGGGCTGGTCCGCCTCAGACTCCAGCAGGAGAGCCTGAGAACTCAGAGAGGGAAGGGAAGGGAAGGGAGGCAGGGGCTGCTGCACGGCTGGCTCGGGGTGTGTTCAGTTGGCACCTTTGAGATCTACCAGACTCCGCTTCTTGCCTCTGGCCCACAGGGGACTGTTTTAGAAAGTAATTGTCTCTTGATCCCTTCTGGCTGTAATTAGAGGGTCAGGTACAGAATTTAGTATCCTTAGGTGAATTTCTGGCCAGCGTAATTACAACAGAAGGGTTGCTCGAGCCACAGCCTCTCATTTGACTGCCCGAAGAGAACGCTCTCCTCCTCCCCTGCTGCGTGCCAGCGTCCCGGTGGGAAAGTTTGGCGGGAAGGCGAGACCTCCCCCAGTGTCTGCGCAATCCATCTGGAGGCCACAAAACTATTTCTGTCTCTGAGGAATGGAGGGACTTAGATTTCTTTTCTTTCCTCTTTTATTCAAGTGCATTTAGTCATGCCCGGCTGCTCTCGCCGCTCAGGCACAGCTCAGGGAGCAGCGGGACATCGCCTTGGCCGGCGCGGGCGCGCATGCGGCCCGGCTCCCACTTTGATGTGAACACAGATGGGCGCTGTTCGCGTGCAGAGCCCGCCCAGGGCCCGGCAGGGCTGAGTGTCTGCATTTCTGACCAGCGCCCAGAGGGTGGGGGTGCTCCTGTTTATGGGCCATGCTGGGCTCAGCTCGGGGTGGGGGCCTAGGGAATAGAACGGGTGGGAGTTGGTGTTTCCTAGTGAACTGGAGGACCTCTAGGTCATTGCTGCTACATTTATTTTTATTTTTATTTCTCCTGTGATTCTCCGTTGGAGGTCATTACCAGGATATGTGGCCCAGGTCAGAGAGGGATGTCCAAGGCCAACCTTGTGTTCCCATGGGAAGGTGGGCATTTGGTCTCCTGACCTGGGTGATGCCCTTGACCTCTGTTCTGCTGGGAGATGGCTCTGTGAGGAGGGGCCAGCTGGGGGTGGAGGAAGGAGCCGAAGTCCAGGGTAGACTCGTGCTGGGTGGTATCCAGGAGCCGAACCGAGTGGAGGGGAGGTCAGGGCAGGAGCCTGTCCGTGGCTTGGAGGCTGGCCTCCTAGTCCTGGTCTGGCTGCGTCTGCACGTGGCCTGTCCCTTCCCTTGGGTCGGGCCCTACCCTGCCTGTGGCGACTCCGCAAGCAGTCCCTCTGCCTGACGCACAGAGGCGAGGGTGTCTGTGGCCCGAGGGAGCTCCAGCAGGCCGCTCGCTGTGTCTCCGCTGGGCCTCAGTGACTCACTGCCATGTCAGAGTGGCGGGGAAGAGACTTAGGCAGCAACTAGGCAGCAACTGGGGGATGCCCCCTCACAGCGGGCCTGTTATCACCAGCGGTGCCCTAACAATGGGATCTGGAGGGTCCTCACCTGAGCTGGGAGCGGGCAGGGGGCCGATTGCTTGGAATGCAGCAGCTCCAGGGAGGCACCGCCCCTGCACCCCACCCTCACCTCAGGGTGCATCCCTGCCCACCCCGCAGGCCCCCTGTCCCCTTATGCCCGACCCCAGGTGAGCACTCAGCTGATGAGCTTCCAGCCGAGGGTGGATGTCACCTGTCAGCCTGGTGTCCCTGGATAGGTGGCTTGTGTCATTGGAGCCTCCAAGTCAGGTGCGGCTGCTGCCAGAGAGCCGCCTCACCACTCTGCCCTCTGCCCGCTCCCAGCAGCCAGGGGAGGCCTTCCTGGGGTGGGGGAGGGTGGCTGTTCCTGCATGGAGCAAGCAGGGTGTCTTGGAACAGGTCCCCTGATGTTGGGGGACTGTGATGCCCAAGCTCTGCCGATGGAGTGAGGGAGGCCCGGTGGTGTGGCCCCGAGGGCACTGGCCAGGGTCCGAGTTCCAGCAATACCCCTGGGTCCCAGTGTGGCAAGCCCTTCCCTTCTTGGGCCTCATTCTCCTATGCAGGGCATTTGACAGATGTTATCCAAAGTCTGTATGGTCTTGTGACATTGGGGCTTTATGGCATCCTGCGGCGGTGGCAGAGGTGCCGCAAGCGGCTCATCGTGTCTGAAGCCTCACTCAGGTGCCTGCACAGCCAGCTGCTCTCCAGCACAGAAGGAACGAGAGAGCGGAGCACCCCGAGTGAGAGAGGGCACGGAAGGGAGCCGGTTGCCCCAGGGGCGAAGCTTGGGAACCCAGGAAGGAGCTCCAAGCCCGCCCCACGCACGAGCAGTCGGGCCGCCCCTCCGACAACTTTCCTTTTGCAGACGAGGCTGACGTGAGGTGGGGGAAGGGACTTGCGCAAGGCCACCCGCTGCCTCACCAGAGAGCAAGGCCTGGGCTCCAGGCACAGGGTGACAGCCTCCTCGCAGTATGTGCTGTTAGTCTGTGATCTGAGGTTCTTCATGGGTGATTTGGGCCCAGCTCATGGGTACGCACTCTGTGGTAAGCACCCCATCTCTGCACCAACCTTGGAGAGGTCTCGTCTGTCCCTGTGCTCAGCTCCCTCGCTGGTCTGTCCAGGACCAACAGCACATGCTCTCTTCCAGACGGCCAGTCCTCTGGGCCTTGAAAGTCGCCTGGTTCGTTGCTTGGCCTCCTTTTGTGTTGTGAGCTGGACCTTCCGGGGCTGGGTTTCCACTAAGAGTTGCTGCCTCTCTGAGCCGTGGTGCGCATCACAGACCTTTGCAGCAGGGCCAGCCGGGCCAGGGGCAGGTGCTGGTCAGGCTGGGGCAGGTTCCCGAATCGCCGGTGGGGGCGGCTGGGCGGCAGGACCTCGGCAGGGTTCTCTCCCAGCCTCCCGAGCTGTGCGCTGAGCTCGCCGGCCATACAGCTTGAAACACATTTTGACCCAGAGTTGTTTTTTTCTCTCTGTAATTTTTAAAATGGCGTAATTTTAAAGGCAATTTGACTCAGATGTTTCTCATTGCTTTACCCTGAAACTGTCCAAATGCTGTCGTATTTTTCTCCTCAGAATGTTGTTTTTTTTCCCCAAAAAATATTTCGGAACCTCTCTATGTGCCCCAGCTGAGCCCCAGGGACCCAGCTGCTGCAGGCCTCCAGGCTGGGACATGCAGAAAGGCTGAAGCCATGAGGCTCCGAGCCCGTCTGACCCAGGGAGCTGTGTGTCCCTGAAGCCAGGCGGCCACACAGGCTTTGGAAACCCTGGATGCGCCTGCAGCAGCCTGCACCTATATCTGACTCTGAGCACCGCTGCATGCTGGGCCAGGCCCCCAGCGGGGTCCCCCCAGCAGCATCGCTGCCCCGGATCTGCCTGCAGCAGCCAGCACCTAAATCTGACTCTGAGCACCGCTGCATGCTGGGCCAGGCCCCCAGCGGGGTCCCCCCAGCAGCATCGTGGCCCTGGGAATTGTTAGAAACGCAAATTCTTGGGCCCATTCCAGACCTCCTGAAGCAGTTTCTGGGAGCGGGGCCCAGCAAATCGGGGTGCTTCTGATGCGCTTGTACATGCTGGGCGCCCTGTGTCCTGCTGTGTGAGGTAGAGCAAGCCTTTCCGTGTGCAAAGCATGAATCATGCACGGAGCTGCTATGTAGAAGTTATGGTGGACATATGTGCCTGGCACGGGCACCTCATGGGCAGCAGCTGCCCCTGCTGTATAGCGCAGAGAAGTAGTAGGAAGCAGCCCAGAATCTGCGGCAGGTCATCTGACCCTGGGCAGGTATGTGCTTCAGTCTTTTCATCTGTAGAATGGACATAATAATGGAACCTCCTTCAAAGTGTTGTCAAAATGATTTGAGTTAGCACATCGAAAGTGCTGGGCACGTTACCTCTATGTGAGGTCTACCTTAAGTATTTGCTTAGTAACTATGACCAGTTTTTCTTTTCCAGGTCTGTGGGTCTGACTTAGAAAGTCTCCCCTTCACTGCTAACCCTTGCTAGTTGACCTGTTGAGGCTAGACAGGTGGTAGGAAGCTCAGATTTCTGGTGTCTTTCCCACTCGAGAGTGGTGGAGGGATTATGGGTAGGAGATCAGACCTGGGCTCCAGTCCTCCTTGGCCTCTGCCACAGGCTGTCCTGCATAAGAGAGCTTAGCGGGCCCCTGGCCTCTTTAATTCATTCTTCTCCCCTGTCCCCTGGAGGTGGGACCAGAATCTCAGGAGACCACCGTAAGAAGCGCAGACTCCCAGGCCGCCCAGACCTGCTGAACCAATCTCCTGGCCTGGGCCTGGCCCAGTGTGCATTTAGCAGGCCTCCCAGGCCCCTCCGCTGGATTCCGGAAGTGGCTCGCCCCTCACGGTCCCCAGGGGCGAGCTCTGAGCGCCTTGCGGCAGGAGGCCTCTGTGCCACCCAGCCCAGCACCAGCCGCCATCCCTGGCTCCGCCTGCTTCTTGGAAAGATTCTTCGAGGCGTTTGTGTAGAGGTGAGGCGTGCGCATCTGTCTTGGAGCGCTGCTCAGACACTGAGTGTGTAAACAAGTCAACCATGAGCACGCTCGCTGAGATGCCCAGGGCTAGGACCTGACCGTGCCCTCCCCTGATCAGTGGCTGTGAGCTCCTGGTGTCTCTGCCTGATGGTTTGGTGCCACACCCCTCCCACACTGTGTGGGCAGCGCACCGCTTGCTCACCACTGCGTCCCGCCCCTTGGCAGCGATTGTGAGAGAGAAGGGGAGTTGACACTCTTGTGCCAGGTGTGTGCCCGGTGGGCTGTTGCAGCCAGCTGCCTCTCCTGGCCCTGAGGTTCCCTGGTCCAAAGGTCATTCAGGGCTGGCCTGCTCCTTGGCCCCTGGTCTCCTCCCGAGGCCCCTGGAACCCACCCAGCAGGCCAGCCTCTCTGGTGTACCTGAGCTGCTTG